ATCACTAGCCAATCATAGTTTTAGCTTTCTTTCATCAAACAATTGATATGTATGGGAGTTTCATTTCAATAGTTGCTATGTTAACAAAGGCTTTTGTACACTTGCATAAGGTTTGGTGGTTCATCCTCCAAATGTTAAGCTCTCTCCACAAAACATGTTGAATCTTGTATTGATCAATGTCATGGTGAAACAAGAAAAAAAAAGCCTTCTTTTGAAACATACTTTTTCGTGACGCTTACACCTGCGTAACATCAAGCATGACAGAAGGATGCACATGTCATTTGAGTTGAAGCCAGGTAGTTCCAATAACATGTGTTTTATTTTGAAATAACACCATATACAACCACGAAGGATCAAATTTTATTTCTAACGTTTCCAACTAAATCTTCTAAACATAGATGGTTTGCAATTACAGACCACATTGCACAGCTTTTTATATATAACCATCCACCAGCTGTGGTTGTAAATTTGTGCATTCACTAAATAATTAATTACATTATTATAATGCAAGTTCAAAGTAAACAACACACCTGGTGACCTGGTGAGTTGTGTTCATTCTATTGACATTTTTTCCATATTTTCCCGGTATCTTCATTCTTCGGAATAATTGTCAATATGACGACAAATGTACATGTTTTGCTTTTGTATTTTTTTTAAATACTTAATTACACAGTTATTTTTTTTGATAATTTTGTCTCAGAAAAATAAATAATTGCTGCAAATTTGACTGAAACATGTACATGTACCGGTAGTAGACAAAAGGCGATGTTGCAAATCCAGGTACAAGCCACGATAAAACTGGTGATGAAATGTATGTCACCATATAAACTCGAGTTGAACTGAAAACACCAAGGTATGCAGTTGCAGGGTTATACATTGCAGTGTCATTGTGTCCAATTGTTTTCTTTGTATAATAATAACTTTTACAGATCAACACCATATCGCATAGCTTTGGTGGTTGTACATGGTCATGTACAAGATAACAATAGTCCACTGAAACTAAATACATTCTGCCAGCCTGAATGTTCTTGTGTCAATATTTCAGCAAGTGGAACTCAAGATAGAAACTTTCTGATTTTCATTTTTCAGGGGCTAAAAGTCCAAAAGAAATCTATGGAACCTGACAAAATGAGGGACCATCTAAAATTATGTACATACTACCAGTATTCATTTTTGTTCCTTTATTTTACATGAATATAATTATTTGTTTGAAATCTTACAAGTCTTGGTTAATGCAGTCATTCAGGTTGAAAATTAATGCGATACATGTCAGGCCTTTTTCAGTCTCCACTTTATTGCACAATTAAAAATATAAAATAGTGATCGACAAGGGTTCAATGACACCAAGAATTAATGATTAAAGGTACTTGTCAAATGACGAATATATTACAAGGACAAATAATAGAAATATGTGTATCCTACTTTCTCAAGTAGAAGTGTGATTCCATAGAAGTGAGAACTATAGTTCGCTACCATCAAAACTGAATGAAATTTATCACAGTAAATCATTTAAATTGTTGTGTGATGGTTCACATACATGCAAGTCATTCATATAACGCAAATTAATCTAAAAAGTGGCCAGTTTGGAACATTTTTCATAGGATTCCATGAAAACACATTATTTCATGGGTTAAACTTATACTAATATTCAAAATTTTCCAATTTTTCATGACAGTCATATGTACAAAAATGTAGCTCTCATAACACTACATGTCAATTTTTGTAGCATAGGTCATTAAACAAAATTTGATACGATGAAATGTTTCAGCTATAGGAACCAATTGTACAGTAAACTATTTGTTTTTTATTCAATTTTTAAAGTCGTTTTGTGGAAAACTTTCGGTGACCCTATATTTTTTTTCAGAATTTTGAACATCACAGTAATCCAACCCCTCTTGCTGGATTTCAAGAATTTCTGAATACTTTTTTCAATGATAGCAAACTACCTTAAGCCACAGCAGGGTTTTATTGCTAAGTTCTTTTCTAATGGTTGGGAGTCTTAAAAAAAAATACCTGAAAAGGCAAACTATTTAACTGGCACCTCTGAGCTACAGCTTAACATATCAACCCAACTCTGTCATCTTAGTTAAAATGAATGTAAATTGATGGGACAGGGCAAACATGTCAGCGCAAGCATTTCAAAAAGAGCAAATATAATATGCTATGGATTAGATTACGGATTAAAAGTATTAAAATATATGAACATGTATTTATTTTTTCAAAATTGGAATTCATTAATTCAAAGAGCTCTGTATAAAATTTCAGTAATTCATTGTTATGAGGTATTTGAGCCTAGCAACGATTACAACTGCGTGTAGATAGATACAATACGATGTATGTAAATTATAAATTACCAATGAAGTATGAGCAGCAAAGCACTCAAAGTGCATAATACAGAGAAATCTAATTCAACGGATTTAATGATTCAAACGTAACACGTATGCATAAAAGTGCAAATCACACCATCGGTATCGATTACAGCGATTTTGTGAAACAATGTAAATATAATTATAAATGTTTTTTTGTTGTTTGTTTTTTTCAGTTACCAATATACCAATATATAAATTAACTGAATCAGTGAAATGGTAACAATTACTGGTAGCATACATGTATAATAACTATACCTGTCAGTTTATTGCTAGGTTACCCTGCACAGTGTTCATCCTTATTAGGAATTGTAAATTTCAAATACAAAATGATTACACGATATTTCCAAGACAGACACATGTTTGAAAACGAAGTTCATAGCTTCAAGTTCCACTAATTCGTACTTAGTAAGTAAAGTTAAAATAAATGAGTTGCACTGAAAAATATAAATAAAACAAGCAG